AACCCAGTGACACAAGAGACACACGGCTTAAATACACAAAGGGAGGTGCAGGTGATTTGGACACAGGTGTAAACTATTAAGACGATCACAGGGGGATGACGGGACAAGGCAGGAAGTGAAGTTACCCGGGGACACGAGTGGCAGAAAACTACAAAATACAACAGGAAGTGAACCACACCGTGACACTTTCACGTTTAAACAAAAAAAGAACACTGCTTTATCTTGCAAGTTGCGCTACATTTCAGCTAATGTACAGGTCTTCACATCAAAACAAAACTTATATGGTTCTTATTATGTATATTTTGCTTCAGATAAAAAATATCTTTAACCAAAATAAAGGGCTAACTAAAAATACATATGCAACCAAATGAAAATAATTAGTCTTTTGACCATTTCTCTGAAGCCTTCATTGCTCACTGTATTTATTGGACCCTTGTCTTTGACCAAATGACATGCATTTGCATCCGTTATTTCAGCGTGTCTTTGGGTGGCGGATGGATACGCTGTTGCGCTATGCAGGGTCGCTGTCAGAGGTGTCAAGTAACGAAGTACAAATACTTTGTTACTGTACTTAAGTAGAAATTTTGGGTATCTATACTTTACTGAAGGATTTATTTTTCAGACGACTTTTTACTTCTACTCCTTACATGTTCACGCAAATATCTGTACTTTCTACTCCTTACATTTTAAAAACAGTTGTTACTTCCGGCTTGTCGCAGTTCAACAACATAAAGACCAAAAATAGATAATAGATAAATGGCGCTATCCGGACAGAGAATGTGATTGTGTTTGGATGAGAATATAAACATTTAGCATCCAGACACCCGGTTGGTTTTCTCCGCGATGCGCCGGCAGATCGGAGCGACACCGGGTGGGAAAAGTGGTCGGTGGAAAGTTGGTATTTAGCGACATGGAGCCTCCTCCTCTTCCTCCTCCTCTTCCTCACGCAGATTCCATGTAACGTTAAATGAGCATCTTCATGGTGGGTTTGTCCTAAATGTTTTATTGAGAGTCTGGCACAACACAGCGACTTGCAAGCAGCGTATTGAATAAAGTGATGTGTGTCTTAATGCGCCTTTGGAAATGTCCCAGATGGAATTTCTTACATTACTTTTACTTTTATACTTTAAGTAGTTTTGAAACCAGTAATTTTATACTTTTAAGTAAAAAGCTTGAGTCGATACTTCAACTTCTACTTCTTCAACTTCTTCTATTTTCTAGGGAAAATGTGGAGTGCTATTTACTTAATAAAACCTAGGAAAGTTGTTGCACTTAGAAAGTGAATCAAATTCTACAAGGACAATCATCAAGTAAATCTTACTTGCAGGATATAAGTTACTTTTACTAGCAAACCTCAAGTAATTTACTGATTATTATTAATATGGACATTGAATTTACTCTGTCCTTCTTTGTAATTTTACTCAGACTCTGACTGCTTCAAACTAAAAAATCTCACCTAAATATCAATGGCTTTTCAAGGTTATTTTAAATACCTTTTTTAAGTTTTATTTATAGACTAGACTTTATAGACACATCATTTTCTGCAGTTTAGATTGCCTAAATTTAGTAATTTAATAAAGTGACGTGTGTCTCAATGCGGCTTTGGAAATGAACACAAAGGGATTCTGTATTTGCTCATGAAGCCTGAACATACTGGTTATTTGGCCGATGTTTTGATAACCGACCGCTGCCAGTTCAGTGATTCCCATCAATATAAACAGGGGTGCGACCCCCATGACGTAGTAAACCTGCAGTCTACCTCATCAATGCGAACAACGTGTGTGTGACTCGTGTCACTGGAAAATGGCTTGTGGTTTTATCTGTTTAAGTCAGAGTCTGTTGTTGTTGTTGTTGTTTCCATCATCCCAACGGCAGGTCACGTGACCTGCAGGCACCTCCTGATCACATATTGTAACGGACTGACGTGTTGTGTGAGCGAGGTTACGCACTATGAGTTTGTCCTTAGTGGAATTTCTTACATTACTTTTACTGTATTTTAGTTTCAGTAGTTTAGTGGTTTTGAAACCAGTACTTTAATACTTTTACTTAAGTAAAAAGCTTGAGTCGATACTTCAACTTCTACAGGAGTCTTTTTAAACCCTAGTATCTGTACCTCTACTTGAGTAATGAATGTGAATACTTTTGACACCTCTGGTGGAATCTACAGATGATGTAACATACCAAGTGAAAGGTACATAGTTGGTCAAATATTTTGGTTTAGTCTAAAATATCTTAAATATGTTTTTTTAGAAATGTTTTAGCTATTTATTTGAAGTCAAACCCACTGTGTAACATTTGAATAGGTCTTCTTTAATCTGATCACAGAATGCAAAAGAGAAACAGATAAAAACATGAATCAAGTCCATTCTTGTTTTTCTGTCTCATTGTGTTACGTAGTTTTATTTTTTTCCTTGTTTTTAAAAAAGTTTTCCAAGTACATAAATTACTGCCACGAGCCAATGCAGTCACATGGATGACCACTTGCTGCCAGGGCAACAAAAATGTAATCCTGCCGACCTGTAGGACAAAAAAGGCCAAAGTCCCATTACAACCTAAAGTTGTGTCAGTTAATCCCGTTCTGCTGAGGGTCCAGCCTGTTCGTGGTCTGCGGACTCTTCTCTCTGAAAAACCATAGGCCCGCCCCAGTGCATGCTGGTCCTGTACCGCCCACTCATATACATCCACCAGGTGATCACCGTGTTCCCCAAATCATCAGCCATCGAACTAACGCAAAACAAATCATACTTAAATAAAATAAATAAATAGACAATCGACTATGAAACAGAAAAGGGCATCTTAACATATCGAACAATATAACCTAAATAATTACATACTTATTTACTTTTGGTTTAACTTTGTTTCATTTCCTGTAACCTGTACATGTTCATGGCCAGAAGGCACTCTGATCAGAGAGAGTTCTACAGCCTCATTGTGACCTTCAGTCTCCACTGTGCAGTGAATAAAACTCACCTGAACCAGGCTCAGAATTGGACCAGATCGCTTCAATGCTTCATAAAGCTTCATCTCGCCATCACTACAAAAAAGGAATTTAATAGTAAAAAGGCAAAATGCAGACGGGGACCAGAAACAGGCAAGACATTTATGAAGACCTTCAGATATTCAGGGTAGAACATTCAATGACGCAACAAGGGACAGAAGACACACAGGGCACAAGTACACTGAGGTGCAGGTGATTGGACACAGAAACAACCTGGGACACGGCAGACAGTCACAGGGGGGAACAGAACACGGCAGAAAGTGAAGTCATCCCAGGGAC